GTGACCATGCTGTGTATATCATTCACTTAGGATTCTATCTCACTATGTATGCAGGGCAGGCTCAGCCTATTTCTTTGATGTCCTTGATAACGAGGCTGTCATGTTTCCTGCATGAGCCTTTTCTAGGGATTCTCTTTTCTCTTGAGTCCCTCTATCCTCTTGGATGAGCTCATTCACATCCCGTTCAGTGGGTTCTGACCTGTCAATGGAGATATATCCCACACATACACTATCTTCTTTTTTATACTTTCCAAATCGTGGTGTCTCACTTGATCCCACACAACACTGGATGTCTCTCTTCCCCCACCTTACCCAGACCTCAAACTGTTTGGAGTCCTTGAGTCTGTCTGTGGGCTTTTCCCACTTACATATGTGGATTTCCATATTCATGGTGAGCATAGCTCAGGTGGCACTTTGTGTTGGCTATGTACTTGATGCCAACAAATCCTATATCCACACCTTTCTGTAGCTTTTGTTTCAATGGGGTGTGGTTCTGGGTGCATGATCCTTTTCCAGCATCTGATCTCCAGGAGTGAGGCATCATCGTCTATTTCCTCAAGCTGATGGCTACTAATCAGGCTTGCCATCATCTTTTGACTCATTTGTCTGGTCTTCTTATTATGATCAAATCTGTCTGTTTTTCATTTTTCTCCTGACAGAGAGGCACTCACTCCTAGGACTTCTGTTTTCTTGTCTCTGGACTTTCTCTATTGGGCCTATAATCACCACATTTAGTTGCCGATCTATCATATCTTGAAATATAAAACCCTGGTGGCAGATCAATTATCTCACCTGGATCCCTACCATAGATTGGTTTTCTCCATTCTGTGGTATATTAAATAAATATTCTCCCACTATGGACATCTTATTATCACTACCTTTTTACCTCCCCTACACTCTTCATTTTCATTCATTTGCTATCTTGCTGAGGATGCCCGGTGTGTTTCAACCTCCTTTTATATGATTCAGATATATTTCTTCCCATTCTCCCTTGCCTTGGCCTCCTCTCGCACTATCTGTGACCACCCCGAAATTTGTGGGCTTGGGAGGGTGATTGGATGTTTTCTCCATTCATCCTTCCCTTTCCTCTCTCTGTGATCACTTCAACCCAGATTGTTTCCTTTATTCTGTATAGTCTATTCATACTGCCCCTTTTTAGCACTTGTAAATGTTGTTTCTTGTCATGGGATTTCTTTTGCTTTCATAACTTATCTCTTTTCACTTTGTACAGTTGGGTTATACTTTTCACCTAGTTAGTTTCTTCTTCCATTAGGGATGACTTTTTTTATTTTTCACGTCTCTTTCCATCACATATGTGATCATCTCACAGCTTCTCTTGCTTATAGCCATTGATGTGTTCTGTATGAGATCTTGCAAGAGGGTTTGTGGATGACCCCATACTCATTAGTGCCCCATTATTTACACTACTTCTTGGATATCACACTCCATTGGCTTTACTTTTATATCACTGTTTATATAATGGAGCTTGTCTTTGTAGTTTATCTTCACCATTTTTAGTGCGGCATTCTAGCTCTTTATGGTGTAGAGAGGTTGGTAGCATTTTTAAAGTTAACATTTTACTTACCTGAAAATGTATTTCAGATAGCTACTCACCTCTCTGCACCAACTCCCACCTTTCCTCTTCACTTCTGGTGCATTTAGTTTGCCTCATCAAGAATGAGCTTATGTTCAAATTCTAGTGTTTATGGAAGTTACTGCACATGAAGGATGCATTGCCCTGCTATTGGTGGAAAGCTATAGTCTAATTATGATTACATCATAGGCTGATACAATACATGTAGAGATGAGAGCTTTGTTCAAGACTTGTGGTATGTGTAGGAATTTATACAAAAGTGCATGTGAAGTAATAGCTCTTTGTGGTTCAGAGAGCTGAGTATCTATCTGAAATACATTTTCAGATAAGTAAATGTTAACTTTAATGGCTTTAAAGTGTACTTTATTATTACTATTTTGCATTACATGTACATTCACATGGGTAATGGGATTTCTCTAGAGTGCTCATGTCGTAGTGTTCTCAGAAGTCCATGTTTCAATAAAGAATCTCTGTAGTGTATTATTGAATGGTATTTTAGTAGCCATCAAAACATTTTTTCACTTTATATGTGGCTATGACTTAGTTTATTTTTACTAAGTTTGTGAAATTTCAATACTTTTATACTCTTAAACATTTTACAGGTAGAAGATTTTACAGCTTTGTCTCTTAGCCAAAAAACTTGTTTAAAATGGAAATTCCTACTTGAAAGATGGAAGTTCTACCTAAAGGTATAATCTCTACATAACAAAACTTCATTATGTTATGTTGAAAGATACAGTATATTCTCTACATAAAAAAACTTCCATTATGTTATATTGAAAGATACAGTACATTCTCTACATAAAAAAACTTCATTATGTTATGTTAAAATATACAGTACATTCTCTACATAAAAAAACTTAATTATGTTTATGTTGAAAGATACAGTAAATTCTCTACATAAAAAAAACTTCATTATGTTATATTGAAAGATACAGTACATTCTCTACATAAAAAAAAACTTAATTATGTTATATTGAAAGATACAGTACATTCTCTACATAAAAAAAACTTCATTATGTCATATTGAAAGATACAGTACATTTTCTACATTAAAAAAACTTATTTTTGTAAATCGTTTTTGGTCAGTTTACTATAATACTGGACTGCTACAGGCAACAGACTTGAAGTCATGCATAATACACTGATGCTGTAACCATATAGGATATAAATCACCCATGAAATGTGCATGAACAGCTACAATGCACTCCATATACTGGCTGGAGTGGGAATCGATGACACCTTGTTAGACAACATCTTGTGATTGATGGGACTTACTTTAACTCTTCATGGCCAGTTAAAAATTTACAACTATTTCATATGAAGAAAAGTAATCGACATATTTTTTATGTAACAGCCACTGCATGATGCAAAGGTTACAGTGGGGTTGGATTCTTGAGCAAGTTTGTCTTCAGACCTCATTTCTTTGAGGAACTCAGAAATAATTAATTTTGCAAAACATCAGTGAGTGGTTAACTCTATCAACCCATGTTGAACATATTGTCTTTCCTGTATTTCAGGAAAGAGAAGTTTGAATAGAAGAGAGTTCATTCAAGATTGTGTTCCATTCACATTGTATAGACTACAAAGACGTTGTTGAAACATACTTTTATGTGTCAAATAATCAGCAGACATTTTTCACACACACACGGGCAACATAGTCCAGATCTCATTTCTGCATTTTTTGTGGTATTGGGCCATCAGAATATTGATGTATCATGATGAACCTGCTACCTTGACAGAGCTGCAACATAGCATACAAGACCAAATGTAACTGTCAGAAATTTGAAGTACAGGGTGTCCAAAAATTTTGGAAACACATTTGAAAAATCATATTGAGAAAAAAAATTTTAACCTAGAGACACATGGTTAATTGCATATGCAAGAATAATGTTTAAAGTTTTTTGGTTTTTTTTTACAGTTGTGGTAGATGTTTTTAACATATTATTCCAGCAGAAAGGTACTCCTTCAAACTGGTGCCTTAGTGTCTGCAACACATTTGGTGAAACATTCTCTTGTCAGTGGATTGGGTTGGGAAGTCTGATCAGTCAGCCCCTGCTTTCTCCAGACATTATGTGTATGGACTTTTTCTTTTTTATGGAGCTTCATAAAGAACAGGGTTTACACTTCTAAGGTTGCAAGTTAGGATGAATTGCATCAATGTGTCTAAGAATCCTTCACAAAGGATACTCCTAAAATTATGCAAAACAGCTGGTAGGAGATTGGGTACAGAATGGACATTTTGCATGTATCTCATGGTGCACATATTGAACTGTGGTAAATATATGATTTAATAAAAACTTTAAGAATTATTATTATACATGCAACAGACCAAGTGTTTTTAGGTTAAACAGCAATATTTTAATACACTTTAACAATGTTGTAAAGTAAAAGTGAAAAATAAATTAATTACCAGCTTACAATAAACTTCACAAAGAATTTTCCAATTGGGTAATTATTTAAGTTCCATAACAACCGTAGGTATTGCAGTCGCAACACTAAATCACAATGAATTATGTTACCACAAAAGAAGGGAATACTAAAGTTTGGATTGTTTTACTTTATATATCAAGTCCAAAGAATTAAAGCATTGTATAATAAAATATTGTATTAAATAATCTAATATCAAATTAGTGGACAAATTTAGTTACAATAAGTGCTTAACCTATCTTATTATACTTGCACATGAAAAAAAAGTATTTTGATAATTGTAAATCATGTCTGTTTTGTAGGTTATGCCTTCTACAAGTAAACAGGGTACCTTCAGCCAGGTTTTAAGCTGTCAAGCTACTTCACCAATGGAAGTTGCTAAAGCACTAGCAAATATTGCTGTCTGATGTGATAAACTGATAAAGTACATTATTTAAAAAAGTATTATTCATATTCAGGATGGTCCATAAGTAGGTATACAGTTGATAATTGATAATTTATGTAATGGCACTTTACACATGGTATGGAATTATGGGGAAATTGAAATCTGTTGCTGTTTACACAATCCTGGAGTCTGCCTACCACCCTTTTGCAAACGTTTTGACACAAATATGTCTGTCCATCAAGTTTTGTAAATGCAACTGTGATGTACCCTTTCATTTCATCAACATTCCGTGATTTCCTACTGTACACATTGTCCTCGAGTACTCTCCAATACTATATACCTACTTTTGGGCCACTCTGTATATATGAATATATATATATATATATATATATATATAGAAGTGCTGATATTTTTACAGTTGAAATAATATAGGATATGCAGAATTATTTTTTTAAATACAATAAATGTTTTATTCTCGGTAAACAAAACTCTTTAATATATATATATATATAATAAAAACTTTAAATGGTATGTTTGCAATAATAAAGTTGTATACTTAATATTATTGTTAGTTCTAATTACTGAACATTTAAGTACAAATGTAAAATGATTCAGACATGCTGTTATTTAGTTCCTTAATAGTTAGTAAGCTAAATACTTGTACTGACTGCTGAACTGGACCTCTCAAAATACTAATGTTGTTTGTGTGCGTTTATGAAGTGTTTTTTATTTTATAATGATTCATAAATATTGAGGTCTCCATGCTTATTCACCACAATCTTTTGACAGTGGGGATTTAGTGGCAGGTATACTTTTATCTAGTTCTCCTTCATTACTCATTTGTTGTTTTTGTCAATCAGTTTCAGGTAGGTACTTTGCACCATGGATTAATTTTCAGACTCCATATTGAAAGAAATGACCAGACTTGTCATATTTTGTGTTGCTAATTGTTTTGTAGATTGGTTGTATTAAATAGCTCCTCTAAAGCATTCACTATCTCTTTTACTTATTTGTAATGTGAAGTTGCTATCACAACTTCATCTTTCCATCATCTACATGCTGATTTTTTCCCACCAAATTGTTTAATTTGTTGACTCAGTATTGATGCAAGTCCTTTTTGTGTTTTCTGTCAGAATATCTTTTATTAATTAGTGTTATGAATAACATGTAGTTGATTCTTTGTCTGTTATATTTTATCTCTTTCTTTTTTAAGTTTCTTTGTATTTCATTTTTCAATAAATGTTCGTTCATTTTTGTCAGTTTGGGCTTACCACACTAATTCTATTTGTCTTTTTACTTTAGGATTTTGTACTTTAAAGGCCTTAACATGCTGTTTTTATATAGTATCTGACATTTTCATTAACCCTTTTGGACTAAGAATTTAATTCTTTAGTCTCTTATATTAGCTTCTTTTGAATTTTTGAGTAGTTTTCAAATAATGTTGTATCTCGAAATGTCTATTTTACGTTTTTGAATCATTATAGCCTAGATATCTATGCTGGAAATATTTTCTGCATATTCCTTTTAAGTTGTTTTTTTTTCTCTAAATCCTGTCCAATGCTTTTCTTTTGTATGTGATAATTGAAATTATATTTCTTTCTTTATCATTCTTTATTGATTTCTTGTCACCTCAGGAACTTTGTTACTAATCAGTTTAAACACAAACACCCCATTGCTATTAGACATCATATGGCTAAGTTAATGTTATATTGTGGACATTTTTATCTGGAATATGACTACAGTGGATGAAGTAGCACATTGTACAGTGAAAGTTAATTTTCAAATACACTGTATTTTTTTCATACACATGGGAATGTTTTTGATGTTGTGGATGCTAAATGTCATACAACCATAAAGTTGTGTATTATCCATATTATGCCCTTAACTATCGGGTGTGCAGCAATATCTTCCACACCCTACTTTTGATAGGCCTAGGTGTTGTACAAAAGTAAATTGATTGGTGAGTAGTTTAACATATAAAATAATTTTGAAAAATTATGGGTGTGACACTCCTTTTGGTAGATTTCACTCTTTGCACCCCTGAATTTTCCCAGCATAAAATTCTTGATAAGTAAGAACACCAAGACATTTAATAAACTAAATTTATTATTATTTTGTGTTACAATACAGATTCTAGCTTTGTAGTTACCTATAATGATCGTATATTTAGTTCTTTTGTCAATAATATCCAAGTGTACTGACTAACATTCAAGATTTTGTTCGGTAATTTCATGCACTGATTCTGTAAGGAAGAAATAATTAGTATCATCTGCATACACATTTGTAGCAAAATGTTATTTAGAAATTTACCTTGGACTTTTTGAGATGTACTTATATTATTGAATTTCATAAAACAAATTATGCTGTATGTTAGTTCTCACCACTTTTCATTGAAAATAAATTCACAATTATGTTGAATTTAGCTTATTTTAAAAATATATATATTATTTTTTAGTTCATTCTTCTCTCCCCCTCTTATCCATTGATTAATTATCTTATTATAAATCTGTAGACCACTTAGCTTTCAGCTATTTCTATTAAAACTGATTCACTGTTGTCATTGTATCAATGTAAATTTTAGATCTCACCTCTGAAATAAGATAAAAACCTTTAATTGAAATTTACTCTAACTATTACAGATTTAAATCTAGAATAAATGATATAGTAAGAAAGAATAGCTAAGTATCGAACTTGGACAAATTTTATTTTAAACATTAAATTCAAAGAATTAAATATATTACTGCAATATATGTGTAAATAACATGCTATTTGAAAGATATATCATAAAGGCATTGATATTTTTTAAATATCAATGATCAAGTTACATTCCTATAAATTGCATTTTTTAGAATAAGGTTTAAACAAATGGATTATAATTTAATGCATTTGATCTCTTATTTAAATATGTCCAAATCCGACATTTTCATATAAAAAACTTAATTTTGGTATTATATTTATCTTATTTTCATTTGCTGCAAAATTTTATCCACATGTTCTTGCCACTGTAGAGGAAGTTGTGAAAACCAGTAAAGTTCAATGTCCCACATTTTGTCATCCATTTTACCTTGTAGCTCTTTCTGCACTCTACGAGATACCTTATCACATATCATCTCAATCAAAGCTTTCTCTCTTTCATTTTTGCAATGACTGCAGTTGTTTTTAAGTAAGCTTGTCTGAGGACAAAAGTCTTGGTGCCATATTGGATGGGTTTCATGATGTGGGTTGTTGGTTAGGTGACTTTGCAAACAACTTTTCCACAAAGCAGTTTCTTGGTTGTTGACAAATCTGTGTGTGTAGCCAGCAAGCATCAAAGGGTCCAACTTGTCTATGTCATGAATGTTTGAGTTGTTATGACCTTTCACATCTACTCCCAATCCCTTTTGTTGCATTAGTGATGCCACCAGCTGGAAGTAATGTAAATGCAAAATATAGTCCATGAGAACAGTCTTTAGTCCCAACCTCTGAAATTCCATTACCCCATGGCCTTCTATTCTGTGACTCAACTCCCAACATGCTTCATATACAAGAATGGACCAGTGGTCACTATTGTCCTTCAACTGACTCCACTTCTTATCATCACCATCTGCTTGTATTTCAGATTTCCACTGTTGTTTTACTACAACACTCTTATAAAAATTGTTCCAGAAATCTTTGCTTTGCAGTAACTGGTCATTTTCATTCATTTTGTTATTAACTAAATAAAAAATAAAAACATGTCATGAAGTATACACAAAATGACCTAAACTGGTTTTGAATATTACTTGTAAAGTAATTTAAATGTCTTTTTTTGTAAGTGTACCTGTGTATTTGACATTTTCTAACAGACCTACATAAAATATAAGAATCATCATTTTAGTGGAAAGTGAAATTATTCTGGTTACACGAGTGAGAACATGTAAGAGTTTTATTTCAATTTTAATTATTGATGTTGATTAGAATCTAAATTTATCATGTAAGTTGTTTTGGCATACAGGATAATCTCTAAAACCATAAAGTTGTGTCTTCTAATTAAGTCTTATATTCATGAGCAAGTATTAAACTCACTAACTGATTTAAAAAAAAGCTTATAACATTAATATTATTATTATTCATTCTTGTATGTAGTGGCAATATATTTAGGTTTCTGAAATAAGTTAAAAGAAAACATCTTCAATAAACTATTTCATAATTCTCTTCTTTGTTTATAAGGGAAAGTACTCTTGCCCCAATTTATTTTAACATCTTTTACTTTTTTTTATTACACTGATAACTGCTGAGGCAGCATTATTATGATGAAGATTTATGCACTGAATGTATCACATTGTTCATTGTATAACTTGTTTTGCAGTGAAAATAATATTACTTTCCAAACTTACAATTATTTCTTTTCTTGAGAACTTAACTGATACTATCTTTGATATCAAAACCACCAACATTATTGTTTATTTATTTTATGTTTTAATTAGCATAGTTTTCTTTATTTTGGTAATTTTTTTTAATTAAACAAGAGCTCAGTGTATAGATATGTTTAACAATTTTTTCATTTAAAATGTTTCAGAAGCTTTATTGAAATTTCAAACCTTTTCCTAGACCAACCATAGAACTACTCAATTCACGTAACCACACTGCTTTGAGCTGCCATTTTAACGAGACCCTATATCTTAAGAGTTCCTGTAGTAACCAGTAAAGTCTAAACCGTTCTAAAGTATGTGTTATTCAGGTTACATTATATATAATGCCACCTGTTAGTGCTTCAAATCTATGACAAGAATTAATGTGAACAATCTAAAATTGTTAGCCAGTTCTTTGTAGTAATTAACACTGTTGTTCAGTATATTACAAGACTAATTTGAATGTTTACTGGTGACTTATCCAATAGCTTGTTGGGAAAATGTCTCCAAAACAGTGCCTTAAAAAATGTTAGTTTATTAGATTGTTTAACCACAATAGAAATAACAATTGGTTTAGGGTTCCTGGATAGGCAGTTCAGTATTTGTGAAGTGAAGAATCTACTGTTTGAATTTGAATAGTAGTTATTCAAATTCCAATTCAAATAATAGCTATACTAAGTTTCAAGTGTTCAGACTTTTTCTATAACACTTGAAACTTAGTATAGTAATCTTGAAATGTCTAGTAAGGGAATTGCAACAGGTTTTGTCTGCCTCCTGCAACTTGTTGATAAACAATGTTATAATTTGGTTAGAAATATTAGTTTAGAAAAACAAATATGTACATGTATTTTCAATCAATTAAACAAGCAGTGTGAGTTGTTAGTGTGGATATACAAAATGTAAAAATCTAACTACTTTTATAAGCAAATATGGGAGGGGTTTAAATTAAATATCATGGGGTGTCATTCAAGTTTCCAAAGAAGACAGTTATCATGCTATTGTATTATGAAGGACCAGTGATATGTGACTTCTTTGAATCATTACCAGACATTGAAGGTGATGACAATTATCCTACAGCTATATCCTGAATAATCAGTTTGCTACTCAAAAAACAGGGTTTGAAGTCTATAAAAAGTTTAAAACCAGCTTGTCAACAGGCAAGACAGTTAATCAGTTCCATACAAGGTTATGACAGATGGCACAGTGGCATGAGTTTCAAGATTTTAATAGAGAAGTGAAGTCTTAGACTATTCAAAGTCGCACTTCAGTATAGTTGAGATGTAAAGCCTGACAAGAAGCCCAAGTCACTATTGCTAAGCTCTTAGACTTAGAAGTATCAGAATAACAAATGGTCAGTATAGAACAACCACAGAAAGATAACAGTGACAATCATAAAGTAAGTGGAAGAAGAGAATGCTAGGAATATTCAAGGAACCAAAAAATGAAATATATTTCAGAAAAGTACTCCACTTTCAGAAAAAGAAATGTATTGTTACGACAGTGGGGGGTCGCTAGGACAGCGCGGTCACGTGACAAGTATTTTAGAAGATTCGCTAGTGCGTTAGGACAGCGGGGTCATGTGACAAATATTCTAGAAGATTCGCTAGTGTGTTGCAACAGCGTTGCGTCAACCGACGCTGGTAGCACGTGTTGAGAGTCTTAGAAGTTTCTAGAACAGGCAGTATTATCGTATATAAGTGCTAGACAGTGAGAGAGACAGACGGAGTTGAAGCAGTAGTGGAGACAGAGACGAAGCAGGCAGGGAGAAAGAAAGACAGCGATT